TATTTGGGTAGTAAAACTATAAAGTAAAGCAGGGAGATGATTACCATAAAATTCAAGAGAGTTGTTAGGGGAGGGGTAAGGGTCAGGGCATTTTCAGGATTTGGCCAAGGTCAAGAAGGTGTGAGCTGCAAAACTTAATTGAATTCTCACCTACATTGGTGATTACAACAGTGTGACACCTCTAAGGGGTATGGAATGGGATTTTCTTTTACGACATAGATTTACAGTAAAACCCTGAGGCCATGAGATTCAGGGCCGGTGGGAAAAGAAAGATGAGTGGAAATAATCTGAAACAGACAAGGGCAGCTGAAGGAGAGGCTCCCTCCAGTCACAGGGTCACATGAGGGTGTCAAATGGATACAAAAAAGGGTGTTATGGTGTTGGCACTGAATAAAATGTTATGCACTTCACAATTTCTCCTTAGACTCATCTTGCACAGGAAGTAATGGTACAACCTAGATATTTTAGCATACTCTAGATTTCAAGTGTTCATATGTTACCTGAAACAGATATATCACTCACTAAATTGTATATTTATTATAATTTTGTATTTTTTGTTAAAGAATTTACAGTAAAAATGATTCATTAAATGGACATATAAATGAGATTTATTTGTATCCCTTGAATAATTTCCAAATAAATAAATTCACATTTGAGAGAAGAATCTTTGGTAGATCAGGGCAATCCGATTGTTGATTCAGGGACTTTGCTCAACCACCACCACAGCTCTGAGATCATGGCTCTGTTTTCCCCATGCACAATTTCTTCAGCGTAGTGAAGCTGGAGAACAGTTTGAGGGCTTCCTAGCCACAAGAGGGCAGAAGTCATGCACATACAATTTCTGAAATTTTTAAAACTGAATTTGTGCTATCCATAATTTAAGACTAAGTGAAAGGGTCAAATCAAAGCCAATGATAACCTGTATGATAAATGACTATTTAAAATAACGTTTTGGTTATGTTTTAAAGAAGATGCCTCATCTCTATTGCTAAAATATCTGGCATTTTCCTTTCTATTGATTTTTTTTTTTTAGTTTCCGCAAGGCCTATAATTTCCAGTGGTCTTCGGAACAAACACTTAAGTAAGAAACAATTTTGTTGTTACTTGTGTGAGTGGGGGTGTGGCTGGTGGATGTGGAGGGAAGAAGGAAATGCTCACTTTGATATGGCTGTTGTTGCAGCTCAACTCAAAAACGTTGACAGAAATTATGAAGAAAATAATAATGGCTTTAAAAATGACTTGGCAGCAATTTTATTTGTCGTACAACAAAATGGTTGGCCCCTGGCTGTATATGTAGATTTAGGAGTAAACTTTCAAAGCATGCTCAGGAGGCATGCATGGTAATCCTATTATCTGATAACAGGATTTGTGCACATACCTCCCACATGCAGCATCAGTAACCCACCCTTTTAGTATCACTGTGAAATGCAATTTATGTGCAGATGAAAAGTTTACAGAACATGGGCCGGTGCCATGAAGCTCAACAAAGCCAGCGCACTGTGTGGCAATGTTTCTGAACCCAACCCCTGTCGTTCCTGCTGTCTCTCTCCTTATTGATTTCTGTCCCTTGGCCAAACAGGCTTTGTGATGGTCTACATCGACTCAGAAACTTGCAAAATGAGCTAGTCAAATAGATGCAGCAGAAACCAACCCTGAATTTCTAGGGGGCTTTGGAGACATACCACACGCAAGACAAGCCACACACAAGAGATGATTGTATCAAACAAATGGCAGAATATAAGGGGTGAGGAGGCCAAATGACATGAGTTTTGGTGAATTCTTTAATAGGAACATCCACAGAAATACGTAAAACCAAAAGTAATGGCACATGCTTGATGAGCTACATCTTAGTCTGCTAGGGCTATCATGACAAAATACCACAGTTTGGGTAGCTTAAACGATAGAGACTTATTTTCTCATAGCTCTGGTGCTGGAAGTCCAAGATCAAAGTGTTGTTAGGCTTGGTTTCTCCTGAGGCCTATCTCCTTGGCTTGCAGATAGCCACCTTCTTGATGTGTCCTCACATATAGCCTTACCTAGTCAGCCATTTCTCCAAGAAGCCCTTGTTCTTTTTATTGGAGATTGACATTAGACATCAAGATCGGGGTGCTAGATGTGTTCATTGCTATTCAGGTGTTTTTTCATTTTTTTTGTGTGTTTTTTTTTGTTTTTTTAGGTCCTCTCAGTTGACAGAGCAAAGGAATATATGTGTATACACTAACTTATGTACATATACATATATATAAATATTTTTGTAACAATATATAATCATATTTATTTTCCCATAAGGGCATATTCTTATTTTATATAGTAAATATTCATTTATATTTACCCATGTATTATCTTCTCTGTTCCTCATTTTTTTTTTGCATCTTTGAGCTTCCTTCTGAGATTATTTGTCTTCCTGCCTGAAGAACACCTTATATCTTTTCCATTATTGTAGATCTGCTAGGTACGAATTCACTAATTTTTTGTATGTCTGAAACTGTATTTTGCTTTTATCTGTGAAGGATATTTTTGGTGAATATGAAACTCTAGCTTACTGTTATTTTATTTATTTTTTAGCATATACTCTTCTGACTTTTATGGTTTCTGTTGAGAAGATGGCTATTCATCTTACTGTGGCCTCTTTGAAGATAATATGTCTTTTCTTTCTGAATGCTTTTACAATTTGCTCCGTTTGGTTTTCAGATCTTTTACTCTAACTTGCTGGTTATGCTTTTCCTTGTAGTTATTCTGATTAGGATTCATAGGACTTGTTGAATGTGTGTCTCGATGTCTTCCATCAGATTTGTATTGTTGTCCTTTAACATTTCAACCTTGCGGTTTTTGGAGGATATAGACTTTATGATAGTGATTCTTTGAGATGAGTCAAGACTTGCTTTACGGCCAAGTGGTCAATTTTTGGAAACAGTGCTGGTGAGCTTGAGAAGAATGTGCATTTTTTAGTTGTTAGGTACCTAAACATAAATGTTAATTACAGCAATCTCGTTATATATGTACTTTAAATATTCCTTTTTTTGTAGCAAAGAATTTACTTACTTATTATTATTTTTTAATTAATTAATATTTTTATGGTGACATTGGTTAACGAAATCCAATAAGTTTCAGCTGTACGCTTTAACAGTAAGGCATATATATATTTACACTGTGTGTTCACCTCCCTAAACTTTCTTTATCTGTATTAATTTACTTCTTCTAAACCATTAATAATTAATTAATTACTAGGGGTGTGCCAAAATATCCTACAATAATTTTGAGGCAATTTTATTATGTGCATCCAAGTTAAAAATTATTATGCTCACATAGTAAATTGAACTTTTATTGTTACACAGCAGCCTTTTCTATTACCAATAATGCTTTTTATCTTATGTTGCATTTTATCTAATATTAATATGTTGTGATCTCTGCATTATTTTGCTATTTGTTTGGTATTTCTTTTTTAATCTCTGTACTTTTATCCTATATAAAGTTTTGTATTTTAGATGTGACTAGTACAGCCTGTATAGCTAGAATTTTTTTAAAACGGCTATTTTTCTTTTGACTGGTGTTTAATTCATTTACATTTTTTGCGACTATTGATATATTTGGACTTGTTTCTATCGATGTAAAATTTCTCATATCTGTTTCACTCTTGCTTCTTTCCTCCCCTTGCCTTTTTTAAAATCTAGTTTTTAGTTAAGTTTTTTAACCAACTAAACACTTTGAAGTTACTATTCTCTTTTCTTTTGCATTCTATTGTTACTGCTGAGACTAATCATCATTCTTTTTCTTTCAAATTGTTTTTAAAATCTACTTTTTTGTCTTTTGTGGTCCTGCAATTTCACAACGTCTATCTTGTGAATTTCTTCTTATCTATCTTGCTTGTTATATATTGATGTCCTTTACCTGTAAGTATATATTTCATCAATTATAAAAAATTCTTGATCATTTTCTCCTCCAATATTGCAGTGCCTCCATTCTCTCTATTCTCTTCTCTAGGACTCTGACTGGATGTATATTAAAGTCTTTTATTCTGTCCTTCCACGTCTTTCAATCTATCTTAATTTACATGTTACTTTTTCTCTATAGAGGATCCTGGATTCCTCCTCTCCACCTCCCCAGATATATCTTCCAGTTCACTAATTCTCTCTTCATTCACTTCTAATCTTCAATCTAAGCCATCTGTTAAATTTTCTTTTTCAACATTTTTGTTATTATTTTTCAAATCTGCAGGATATTTTTGACAGTCTCTTAATGATTATTCTTTTTTGTGAACACATTGTTAATTATTTAAAGTTTATATATAGCAATTACATTCTGTATATGACAATTTCAAAATATGAATTCCTCTGGGACTTTAATCTGTTTATAGTTACTGATGATTTGTAAGAATGATGATGACACTTTCCATGTGTATTTTCTGCTTTTGGTTTTGACCTAATATTTGCTAGCCCTTCATCTGGGAGAATCTTGTGGGAATACCATGGGGATGGTTTTTTCCAGAAAACATATTTTTTCTCCAAAAACATCTTTGCTTTTGCTAGGAAACAGGGAGACTCCTGACCTGGAACAGCTGAGTTCCCTTTGAGAATATCAGCTTAATGTGGGACTCTCAGGTTCAACTCTTATACTTGCTTGTACCCAAGACTTAGACCAGCTATCACAGCTCTGATATTTGCTTTTGTCCTTAGGCCAGTCCACCTTTTTTTTTTTTTTTTTTTATTACTGCTCATTGTCTTGCATATTTATTTTTAGAGAGAGTATCCTGAAAATTTTCTCCTGTTCTTACAAATTCAGAAATGCAATAAAGGATGGCTTATCCAAGATCTACTTGCTTTGTGGCAGGAGGACCTTTCAGAATATTTAGCCTGTCTTTCTGCCAGAAGCAGAAATCTGAGACCTTTTTCCAAGTGTCTCTTTAATAAGGCTTAAAATATTTACAATTAGTTTATCAGCAGAATTTAAACAAGGTAATTAAGATAATAAAACTTCACCATGATCAAGCAGTGTTCCTCATAGCTTCAGTTTAATGATCTTCCCGTTCACTTTATCTTGCATATGGAATGGAAACTTGCCACAGAAGGTTAAATTTTAAATGTTCAAATGAGCAATTATTTTTTAACAACAGTACACATCATGCATATAATATGTCAGTTGAAAGGTTACATACAGAAGAGGCTTGAAGTTTCTTGCAAAACAAATAGAGAAGTGTGAACATTACTGAGTGAAAGCCAATGAGCTCCATTTCTTTAAAAAGTTAAAGAAAAAAGCAAAGAAGTCAATGGCTTGACATTAATGAGACTAACAGTCTTTAAAGCTTTAGAAAATTTTTCTCTTAAATCTTCATACATATCTGGAGTTTTCAAAGCTTTTCTGTGAATACAGCAGTGTGTAAAATTTTCTTTCAAGCATCATGTTGACTATGTAGAATGTTCATAGGTATTTCTAAATCCTATACTTAAAAGTTAAAAAAGAATTGCATAGGTAGAATACCAATGATAAAACTATAGTCTCATCCTAAACAATAATCTGGGTGAAATCACCAGCTTGATATACCAATTATATTTCCTTTCCCTACAGTATATAATGTATCCTTCGATGTACATGTATCTCAATTCAGAAGACACTATATTAGGCCAAGAAAAAGCTGTATGTATCAGAATCAACTTGCTTCCTGAAATTGCATTAGAGTATTCATCGGGGGTCTCGTTGGTCTGGAGTGGTTGAAGTTCTAGCTAAGACTTCTATTTGCAGGAGCTATTTCTTGACAAATAAACACGTCTGGGCATGCAGAGGCTTGATCCCCATTCAAATTTTGAAGTGTCTCTTCATAAAAGGAAGTTTATATTCATGTCCTGTCTCTGGGTCTTAATTACGTGCCCAGTACACTGAAGAGGCAGGACTGAGTGCTCTCTAAGGTTTCTCCTACCACTAAGAGTTTGGTGTAATCTGTGAAGCCTGGGGTAAGTGTTGGGATTCACCACAGCCTCCCATGACTAATACACTAAATACAGTGAAGTAGCAAAAATACAGTGCAACAGCATGGTGAAGGAGGATAGGTTCCTTCACCATGGACCTCAACAGGCTCACACAAAGAAAGCTTTTATTTCTTAACTACTGCTCATTTTATAGATTATTTCATGAAAAAATATCTTGAATCAAACAACTTGGCCATTTTCATTTGTTATTCCTTCTTAGAGAACATTGAGTTACCTCTTTCATGCAGCTATGATAATGTTGGGGGAATTCATTAATCCACTTTCCGGATGAAGCCAATACCTGGGAAGATTAAGCAGAATAATGTGAAAAAACTGGCACTTTGGTGACAGTATTTCAGCTTCTGGATCAAATCTTGTTTCAAGTTTGAGCTGGAATTTTCAGTTATATGAGCCAATGCATCACCTTCATTGTATAAAACAGACATGGGGTTTGGTCACTTGCAGCTAAATACATTCTAATGAAATATCTCCATTTAGAGTACAATTTGAATATATGATTCAGATAACGGTTCATCCTCTTGGAGGGAAACCAGAGTTCTAGGCCATACTTTCTGCTTTAAGAAAACCAATTCTACAAAAATCCAGATTTATAAAACAGTAAATTATTTTCATTTTAAAAGGAGTTTAATTTCTTTTTTCCTGGGAGGTTCACTCCAAGGTTTTATTATTTAGCCAGTTTCTCCAGTGATTTAAAAAAGTCATTCACCTGATATATACTTTTTCAGGGACATATCAGTTGTGTAAAGTGGAAGCATGCCTGTTTTGGGCTTTTGGGTACTAAAAATGTCAACTCTTTACTCAACTTCTGCGGGTCTGGTAGCCAACAACTTTCTGTGGTAGATCTGTAAGTTTCCTACAGGAGTTAGCTGGAAGCTTGCACAGAGTCTGAGATTTGTAGTTAGACATACCTGCTGTTGAGCAAACAAGAGTGAATGAGTGGGCAGCACAGACATTTTTCTGAAGAACAATTTACTGAGGTGAAGTCTCTGAGATGTGAGCTTATCAGGTGTGTGCTTACTTAGTTGTTCATCACATTAGAATTTACAAGTAGGGTGACCATATGTCCTGATTTGCTCTGGATAGCCTCAGTTTATGCCACCGTAATTGTTAATATCACCCTCCACTTGTTCTTACTTATGAGCTGCATGATAGAGGGAACACCAGCACAGAGAGGCACACAGACCAAAGTAAGTTTAAGGACTAGAACAGTATGTGAAGGACTAGAACAGCATCTGGAAAACCAGCTTAGAGGCAATAGCAATAATTAGATGGAGAGCTTGTTAATTTATTGTCACATAAATAAAAATGAGATTTATTGTTTGGCAAGATTAAAGAGATGTGATGAATATACTGTTTTGACTTTTGAGATGAAAACAAAATATAAAGTAAATAAACTGTCTATTGCTATGCTACCCTGAACAAGCCTGATTTGTCTGATTTCAGAAGCTAAGCGGGGTAGGGCCTGGTTAGTACTTGGATGGGAGACCACCAAGGAAGACCAGGTGCTGTGAGTGTAAAAAATAAAAAAGATAAGGGATTGTAAGCTGACAAGGTCGTTGCAATCTGTGAGGCCAACCAAGGGTTGCCTCGCCTAAAAAGTAAGTAAATAAGTAAGCAAGTAAAAACAAACAAACAAACAAACAAACAAACAAACAGACCAACTCCATGTCTATCAGCCAATGGCTAGCACTGTTATAGATCAACAATACGGGTTTCAGCTCCCAGGGCACAGAATGATTAACTTCCTTTCTGTACCTGCTCACGCATCACATTCCCTTTGAGCCCACACTTGGCCTCAGTATCCTTCTGTGGCAGCCACTGCCAATTGTTGAGAGCTGGCACATGAGATAACACCTATTTGTGCTGCTTCTTTCATTCTCTCTGCTCCTTGATATTAGAATGGGGCCTAACACAGCTATGGGTTTTGTGAGAAAATTAATATTCCGCCTTTTATCAGCTGGAAGACTTTGGTAGGAGTGGCGATAAATGGATTCATACGTTCATTTCTTCCAACAAATATTTATGTTTCCGTGGAAGGAAAGGAGTGAGATTCAACTCACAGATGTTAATGGAAAAGTAACATCCGACCTGAAGGCGGGCAGAGGTGAAAAACTAAGTACACGGTTCCCAAAGCAGCGGCAGCGACGGACTCACCTGTTAAGAAAGAAATTGTAGTGCTCACCTTCATCCACAGTGGGGCACTCGAAGCTCATCACTGAAATACCCGCTGTGTTGTTTTAAGAGAGCGGTTGAAGAACAAGCGCTTCCAAATCTTTTCTCCACACCTAGGGATGATCAAACGGGTTAAATTAAAAGTACATTGGCAGGTGTCTGTGTGAGTGAGGCAAAGCCATTTTAATATTAAGCCCTATGTTGCTATCAACCTATTCTAAAATGATTCATGTTTAAAAATGTAACAAATGCGTTAAATATGAAAACAAGTTTCACTTAAGATCTGGTCTCCATTACACAAAAGATGAAATAATTATACAAAAGATGGAACAATTTGGGGGCATATCGTTCTCATTTAAAGCTGTAATAAGACTTATCAGAAAACTATAGTCAGCTGTACTTCAAATGCTCATGCCTTCATCAGCATGGGCAATACAGAGTTCATATTACATCTTGGATAAAATTTTATATTAATATGAGTTATGTCCTAACATATTCAATATCTTTATCCCTGTGTCTGGGACAAAAATCTTTCAAGATTTCCAAAGGCCGGATAGGATTTCCAGATCAGCAGTGGATGAAGGTGGGACCGCGCTGCTTTGATGATGAGAATACAAGTGTATGGGGTGGCCCTTATACTTCATATTACACAATGAAACCATCAAAGGGGCGACCCTTATCTTTTCTAGTAAATAATAAAATAAAAAAAAGACCTTGAAGACCAAAGCCTGGAACGCCGGCGTAAATGCCGCCCGGTGTGCTGACCCCCTTCAGACGAGCGGAGGCGCGGTGGCCCGGGAGCCCACTGTGCCGAGCCCACGCGTTGCCGCTGGAGCGGGGCGCGCGGGGCGCTCTCCGCTCTCCGCCGCTCGCCCGGGCAAACGGAAAGGGCTAATTGGTTTGCAACTGAACAGCGAGTTTAAAAGGAAGCATTAAAAGCCCAAGGGAGCCGCAGCCCAGATTGTGGAGCAGGCAGAGCGGAGGGCTTTGAGGGTCCCCGGGGCGAAAGGGGAAGGGGCGGACCGCCTGGCCGTGGGCAGATGGAGGCCCGGCTCCCGCGGCCCGCGCGCGCGGGGGGCGGCCGCATCCACATCACCTCACTTGGTGTAAGTTTATTCTGGGCGGCCGTGAGCTGGAACAGGAAATGTTCAGTCTTTCATGTCCACTGGCGGGTTGCAGTTTTGCACCTCCCGGCGAGCACTGATTAGTCGGTTGAGTTCCATCGCATTTGAAGTTCACCATTTATTATTAAAGAGAGGTGGCAGTGATTAGTTCTGAGTCCTCAGAGAGCTAAATAAATATTTAGTAAATAAGAACGTTCAGCCGTAAAGGAAAGGCTCGAACAGGTTTCTGAAATGCCGGCGAGGGCCCGAAGTGCCTCCCCCAGGAAGGAAGTGGAGTTGCGGGGCTTCCCGCCGGAGGCTGCCATCTGCAGACCGCGGGTCGGCTGGGGACCTTTGTGAGTCAGAGCAAAACAAAATCCCAGTCCTGAGTCAAGCTCGGTTGTCTGGGGCTTTAAATGATTTTATAGGCTGTGTTTCTTTTATAAAAGCAGAGGTGAGTGTCTAGGTAAACTTTGAACCTTCCCTTAAAAACAATTGAAACAATAAAGTAGCATTTTATTGCTCAAGCAATTAAGAGGATTGGTTTGTATTGCTTCCACCGTTAAGTGCGTTTTCTTAGCCCTAGTATGCTCCAGAATATAGCCAAATTGTGACTATTTAAAAAAGCATGTTTACACGGTGTATTTGGCAATTAACTTTCAAGATGGCATTGTTGTCAAAAGCATTCATTTTAAAAGCTTTTTATTTTCTTGATAGACTAACTCTTTAACGGCACAGAATATAGAATATACACATATCCACACATCAATATCATGTTACCACTATGCCCAGTTTTGAATCATGAGTTTTTCAGCCTTACATTTTTGGTGAGAATTTTCTAGTGACATTAAATATTTTTAGAAAAACTTACCGATGGTTAAATACTAAGGCGGTTTCCAGCTTCCACTGTTGTAAATAGCACATTTAACATCCTTGTGTATAAATCTGTTTGCATCTTTCTGATTACTCCCTTAGGGGAAATTCCCAGGTATGTAAATACCAAGACAAGGCATATGAAAAATTTTAAGCTTCTTAGTGTATCTTGCCAATTTAATAGACTGTAAGTCGAAGGCATTTAATAGATAAAATACCATTTTAATTTGAATTTCTTTGGTTATGAGTCAGGTTTAATGTTATACTATGAGCTCTTGCAGAGCAGGGCTATTTTTTGCTCGTCACCATATACCTGGTGTCTTGTGTAATGACAGGCATATACTTGATACTCAATAAATATTTGTTGGTTGAATAAAAGATGAATAAATACTAGACATTCAAATTTCTTGTTTTGTCAATTGCTTTTTTCGTATTGTTCGTTTATTTATTATTCCGATAGCAGTCTTTTTCTTATTAATTTGTAAACTTTTACATAATAAGGATTGAACCTTTTGTAACATATGTGGCAAATCCCCCTCCCTTCCACAAAGTGTGTATGTTTACATGTGTGTGAGTACTTTTTGATTTCCAGACATTAAAAAATATTTTCCATAAGTATGTATTTGTGACACTGTTTATCACACATATGAATTAATTTGCTATAAGCTGTGCAATCTACGTTTTGAGGCAGTTCTATATATTTTAGACAGCATATTTTCCTTCTTTTATTTACCAAGTTTTTTCTTGGCCTTAGAGGTTTTTTCAGGACATACTACCTCAAGTATAGAGGTATCACAGTCTTAGTCTTAGTCTGACAAACAGGAGTCTCAACACCCGTTGTCATACGAGGGAAAGACCTGTCAGCCCCTTAGTTCCAAAACAACTGTCCAATAAGTGCTTCTTGCTGTTCTTCCAGTTTTTTTTTTCTTTTTCATTACTATTAAACACATGAATAGAAAAAGGATCTTTGTTTCTTAAGGGTTTTCTGAACATATCTCATTCTAACCGAACATAGAATCCCCTTTGATATCCTACTTGGTTGTGGTTGAAATGACATAGTGTTAGGGATCATGGGGTGCAACTATTTTCAAGTAGTAATGATTTAAAACTTGGAGAGTATGGATATCTAATGGAGAGACATTAAGCCTTAAATTTCTCTTCTTCGTGTAAGTATTCCCAGAAACAAAAGCATGATACAGAGGCCGAAAAGTGTGTAAGGCAAACGCTACAGCATTTAAGTCACAAAAGCTGAGATTTCACATTGCATGTGCTTTTGTTAGGTTAGGCCTCAGACTTAGAGATGGGAAAGAACCTTGCTTGGAGCAGATTTTTTTTTCTTCTTACATCAACATTAGTTAGTGTTACCTGCAGCTCTGCTTCTGATCATCCTTACTCTAGACATGGAGCTGTCTATCTGGGACGCTGTTGGTCTCAACTAGAAAAATCTCTGTGAACCTTGCACTGGTTCTTACGGCTTCTACTGAGAAGTGATACACATTACATGGGATTATTTAAAAATAAAGTTATTAAATTCAATAAGAAGTTAGCAGTTGCTTTCTGGGTAACTTGTTTGACTTTTGCAGATGTTGAGGGAGGTAGCTTTCCCTGTGAAGCAGTGAAGGAGAGTCAGTTCAATCAGATTCTGAGTGGTTTACCCCTCTTTGTCCTTCATGGCCCATTGAGTTCCTGGAGTTCTCTTGGATAACTCATCAAAACTGATATGCTTCTTTCTGCCTACATTGCATTCATCTGTTTATTTCATAAATATTTACTGAAGCCAAATATGTGTAGTAGACAATACAGGCATGGTTGATGCTTTCATGGAGTTGACTTTCTAGCAGCAAGAAACAGACAATAAATAAGGATACAGGTAAATATGACAATTTTAGATGAAAAGTTCTGTGAAGAAAACACATGCCAGAGAGTGTTGCATGTGGGATGAGGTACTGGTTGATGCTGGATGGTTAGGGAAGGCATTTTTCGGTAGGTAACACAGAACCTGAAAATAAGCAGCCAGGTGTATTAAGAGAAGGACTAATTTTTGTATGTTGATTTTGTATCCTGCAACTTTACTGAATTTGTTTATTTGTTCTAACAGATATTTTGGTAGAGTCTTTAGTTTTTTTTTTTTTAATATATGTAATATCATTTCATCTGGAAAGAGAGATAATTTTTCTTCTTCCTTTCCAGTTTGGACTCTTTATTTATTTTCTTGCCTAATTGTTCTGGTTAGGACTTATAGTACTGTATTGAATAGAAGTGGTGAAAGTGGGCATCTTTGTCTTGTTTCTTAGAAGAAAAGTATTCAGTTTTTAACTCCTGGGTATGATGTTAGCTGTGGGCTTGTTATATATGGCCTTTATTACACTGAGGTTTGTTCCTTCTTTCCTAATTTGTTGACAGTTTTTATCATAAAAATATGTTAAATTTTGTCAAATACTTTTCCTATATCTATTGTGATGATTATATATAATTTTTATCCTTAGGTTTGGAAATGTGATTTATCACATTTGACCTATGGATGTTGAACCATCCTTGTATCCCTGGAATAAAACCAACTTGATCATGGTATATGATCCTTTTAACGAACTGTTGAATTTGGTTTGTGTATATTTTATTCAGGATTTTTGCATCTGTATTCATCAAGGATATTGGTCTGTAATTTTCTTTTCTTGTAGTGTCCTTGTTTGGCTTTGGTATCAGGGTAATGCTGGCCTCATAAAACAAGTTTGGCGGTGTCCCTTCTTTTCTATTTTTTGGAAGAGTTTGAGAAAGATAGATATTAATTCCTCCTCCTCCTCCTCCTCCTCCTCCTCCTCCTCCTCTTCTTCTTCTTCTTCTTCTTTTCTATTTTTCAATTCTTCAATTCTTCAATTCTTCTTTAAATGTTTAATAGAATTCACCAGTGAAGCCATCTGGTCCTGGACTTTTATTTGTTGGGAGGTTTCTGATACTGATTCAATCTTATTACTAGTAATTTGTCTCTTCAGATTTTCTATTTCTTCATGATTCAGTTTTGTTAGGTCATATGTTTCTAGGAATGTTTTAGGTTATCTAATTTGTTGTGTGTAGTAGTAATAAAGTTATTAAATTAGTGTGTGGTAATTGCTTATGATCTTTAGTGTTTCTGTGTTATCGGTTGTAATATCTTCTTATTTCTGATTTTGACTCTTCTGTCTTTTTCCTTAGTTTAGCTACAGGATTGTCAATTTGTTTATCTTTCCAAAAAACAGTTCTTAGTTTTATTGATCTTTTCTTTTGTCTTTTAAGTCTCTATTTCATTTATATCCACTCTGATCTTTATTTTCTTCTACTAACTTTGGATATAGTTTGTTCTTTTTCTAGTTCTTTTGTTTGGGACATAATCCATGTTTCTTCATTTTCTTTGACTGTCTGTGTTGGGTTTTGTGCATTAGATAAAACAACCACCTCTCCCAGTCTTGACAGACTGATCTTATGTAGAAGACAAATCTCATCAATTAATCCAGCCTGAGCTCCTGGTTGTCTCTCAGACATTTGTGATTGTCCAAGCTGCCATCTTAGTTCTTTATGGCATTCAGTACTTGAGGGTGTGCCAAGAACTGTCAGTGTCCCAAAGGGGAAGATCACAGTCAACACCTAGATGAGGCTGATGAGGTAGCAGCTGGGAAAGTATTCAGTTAAACCTCTTCCAGGGAAAAATTAGGAGATGGGCATTTTTGCCTACTCCCTCTGCACTGAATTCTGAGGATGATAGAAATGGTGAGTGCTTGTGTTTCTGTTAAGAACTGCTTCTTTGTTTGCTATAGTCCGATGGGTCTCATAGCCTGAAGCCCTGTTGGCTTTCAGAGTTAGGTGTTTTTGGGGCCCATCCCTCGGCTGGGATCCTCTGAAGATAGGGTACTAGATGTGTAGTACAAACCCTTTGCTCCTCAGGGAAAAGCTGAGATTTGGGGGTTCCATCCTGATAGTATGGTGCTGTGTTGGGAGTGGGGTTTATGACAAGAGTATGTCTCAGCCTTCCCTACCTGTTTTGATATAGGTAATTTCTCATTTTCCCTGTGGATAGGAGTCACTCAGTTTCTGGAATTCTCTTAGAGGGAATTGCTGTGTGTGTAGCTGTACATTGGTGTGTCCATGGGAGGAGAGAGGTCTACGAATCTCCTATGTTGCATTCTTGGTCCTTCTCTTGAGGTGATATCTTCTTAACATTCATTTACCACAATAAATATTTTCTTTTTCTTGAACCTAGTCATTGTTGCATATTTAATATATTAATTGAAAGGTTGGAGGCCTTTTGTAGTTATGTGGAAACAGAATAGTCAGTTCATCTTGTGAATGTCCCTTCATTCTTCAGTAGGAATGATTAAGCCATGACCTCAAACCCCTTATTACTTATTTCTGCTAAGTTTCT